GGTGTGTGTATTTTCTATTTGACACGATGCATAGTGATGTGAGTGAAATGCATTTGAACTTTTCCATTTGCAACTAGCTGGCCTTCCTTGAATGATGAGAGTTGATCAGTAATAGATTGGTAGTCCTGTCATGGACCAGGGTGTTTTAAAAGAACCATGCAAACTTCCTGATGACAAACAACATCCATGAGGGTATGAGATCCTTTCATTTTACAATTGGAAAGAGAACTAAGAGTCGTGTACATTGAGGGTCGGTGTAATTCCATGAATCGAAAAACTCAATTAATTTTGGCAAGTTTCTTAAGTATGATTTTTCAAGAAGCAATTTTTGTACATGTCATTATAGCTGTGTATTATGCTAAAACGTTGAACTTTTAGGGAAACAGTGCTGATATTCATCCTCAACACTTACTTCCTTATTCAAGTCCTTAGTATGGCAAGGTAGAAGTGTATTTTTATGATTTATGGGCAACCCAAACTTTGGACAGACAAGGCATAAGTATAATGAGATTGATCGTAGAACGGTCCGATGATGAGCACAAACTACTTGAATTTCTCAATATTTATCGTGACCTTTTTCTCAAGTCCCATTATTACTGAGGTGGTGTTGTTTCAACAGAGTTATGCCCTCTTCCAATGTTCATGATTTATAGTTTATTAAGATGCATAAGATGTAATATTTAGAATTCAAATTCGTTTCAACCAGATAAATAGCTATTGATGAATCCGCTTTTGAGGTCAACATACTGTAAAGGACGTATTTCCTTTTTCCTATGGTAATTCTATAGTTTTTTCCTCATAGTCTTTGTTGACTTAAGCAAAGATCATTTCTGTTTATTCCCTATTGAAAATTTGGTAATTAAGAAAAATTAATCAAAGGAAGAGGCACATTGAGAGCCAAAATCAGCAATTTATGAAGGAACGTTTGCCCAGATGTAGATGTAGTTTGAAGGGCAGGGAATACATAGATTGGGATGTAGAATAGCATCTAATTCATATGCATTTTGTTGAACTTTGAGGAGTTATTACTGCTAAGAGTCTCAATTTTAACTTTGCTTTGCTTACTTTGCAATGGCATTGGACAAGAGGACTACACGTTTTGTGTATTCAGTTAGTTGCATTTAGGCTTTAAGCACTTTTTTTGTGTAGTGTCTGTATTCTGTGGAGCTGTCTCTGTTTGAAGTGAGCAGTGAATAGTCTAAGGGGTTTCCGTTCATCAAAGGGGATCCATATTCTGTGACTTTGTAATATATGACAATTTCCTACTTTAAAAAAAGAAAATATTGGCATAGGATAATGCTGTCATATTTTGCATAAAGTGTAGGCATGAACATCAAAAGTTCGTATAAAACTTTAATGTTATTTTTTGGATCTTTGTTTTGTATTCTTCTAGTTCTTGATTTTGTGGTGTTTATCGGTTGGTATGAAGATTGATTAACCTCCCTCTCAAACTACTTGTATCAGGTGTATGATGTGACCCCCTTCTTGGAGGATCATCCTGGAGGTGATGAAGTTTTGCTAGCAGTAACTGGTAATGCTATGATACATCACCTCTCTTCAACCTTACATTCCTGATTCATTGGCATGGACAATGACTTCTTTGTGTGATGAGTTCACAAGTTTGTCGGCAATTTTTCAGGGAAAGATGCAACAAGTGATTTTGAAGACGTTGGCCACAGTGATTCTGCTAAAGAGATGATGGCAAAATATTACATTGGTGAGATAGACCCGTCAACTGTTCCCAAGAGACGCGTTTATATTCCACCACAACAGGCCTCCTACAATCCAGACAAAACTCCACAGTTTGTTATCAAGATTTTACAGTTCCTTGCGCCCCTCTTGATCTTGGGCTTAGCTTTTGCAGTCAGAAACTACGCCAAGGTAGAGTAGGCAACTTCATTTGACCTTCTATGGTCCAGTGTTGTCTGTGTTAATTATGTATTAGTTGGATGAATAATTTCTTCCCCTTTTTTTCAGTTTCTTTATGTATCTTGAGAGTGCCGGTATGGAATGTTGGTTGACAATTAAGTGCCCATTATGGAGCTCTATGTTTATGCAAATAATATGCCTTCAGGCCGTGGTCGTGTGCTATTATGTTGGAATACTGGGTCATTTGGTTACAGTTTTGAAGGGTGGATTACATAATTATAACAAATTAAAATTCTCTAATTCAACCTTATACTGCAACTAGTAGCAAAAAACACTCAATATAATTTTATTTCAAATGTTTATTCAAATAATATTATATATTCATACTATTGAGCTGATTATAAATTATAATATCACCTAAAAAAATAGTATTATAATTTAATTCAAGCGTATTAACTTATAAATTTATTTTTGTTTCATATTTAANTGATTATAAATTATAATATCACCTAGAAAAATAATATTATAATTTAATTCAAGCGTATTAACTTATAAATTTATTTTTGTTTCATATTTAANTATCTCAATTTTTTAGCACATATAGGTTAACAGTAGCTCTAATAGCTACCATTGGGGTATTAATCGAGACAAGCTACTCCGAATTGGTTCAGATAAAACTCAGTTCGAATTCGATTTGTGTTTTAAACGAATTGAGTTTAAATAATTTTTTAAATTTATTTTAAAAAATAAGCATAAAAATTTCTATTCATTTATACGTAAAATAATCGAATTATTCTGATTTAGATTTTAAACTAATCAAGTTTAAATTCATTTAAAAAAACAGAACACCCCACCGCTTGTAAAACAAATAATAACGCTGAGCAATCACAGAATAATAGAACACGTTCCTCACGCCCAAGGTTTCTTGTAATATCGTTGTTTTTCTATCTGACATGCCCACCGATTTCCATTTTCTTCAGTGGGTACCCGTACCATCAACGTTGTTGTATTTGTGCCCAAAACATAAATTTACCCAAACTTCAATAATAATAAAGCTGTGAATATCCAATCAAATTAATTTTTTTTAAAGGATTTAATTGTTTAATTAATTGTTCAAGAACCACATAAAAATCGAGTGTATAAAATATAGTTTATCCTTAAATTAATAAATTAAACATAAAAAAAATATTAGAATTATCAAAAACCCACCTACCACACCCAACTACTAAACCCAAAAAAAGAAGGGCAATGCTATTGAGACCTAATTTATTAGTCTAATTTACTGACTTAATTTATTAAGATCTTTGAATTGACTGTGGGATCCTTGGAACTTAGTGTTGATCCAATGATTGTGCTGAAGTCACATCATTATGTCAACAAATTAGATCAAATTTTTAAATTCAAATAGTATTACTCAAAAAATAAGGTAAACAACAAAATTGAATTTAATGATGCGTCGTCGTTTACTTCAACTTATAACCACACTGACGATTGATTAATGACGGTGATATCCCCTCTCATTGACTTGAACGCTGGGGCAGTAGTCCTTCGGGACGGTAAGGGCAAAGTTTGTAATTTCCTAAAATCTCAGGGTTCATTTCAAAGAATCAGAAGACATGAACATATATAAAAACCGAGAGCCATTTTCGGTTGGATTGTCCTCTTTGTTTAGTAAGAACCGAAAAGCGAGACGGAAGAGACGAAAAGCTCTCTCTCTCTCTCTCTGAAGATTCGTCTTTTCGTTTGACTTACTGTATAGTATCTGTATATACTGATCCTTTGTACGATCCTTGCATATGTTTCAACACATAAGTTCCAGCAATTTGATTGTAGTCATTTTGAATGTGATTGTGATTTTGTATGCTGTAGCAGGGAATAATGGCGTCAGGTTCTAAAGTTTACTATTTTGAGGAGGTCGCAAAGCACAATAAGATCAAAGATTGCTGGATTATCCTCTCGGGGAAGGTCTGATTTGTTATTTGCTTGATTTTTTTTATGAAATTGATTATTTAGGGATATGCAAGAGAAGTTTGATTTGAATAGTTTTTGGATTTAGTTCATCTAGATTTTTGTGTGAAGCAAACTGAGCTGCGTTGTAGGATTAGTTTTCACCTTGGATTGTTGCTCAATACTTCAGTCTCTTTTGTGCGTGTTGGTATGTGAGAATTTTTTTTTTTTTTTCGGTGTGTGTATTTTCTATTTGACACGATGCATAGTGATGTGAGTGAAATGCATTTGAACTTTTCCATTTGCAACTAGCTGGCCTTCCTTGAATGATGAGAGTTGATCAGTAAGAGATTGGTAGTCCTGTCATGGACCAGGGTGTTTTAAAAGAACCATGCAAACTTCCTGATGACAAACAACATCCATGAGGGTATGAGATCCTTTCATTTTACAATTGGAAAGAGAACTAAGAGTCGTGTACATTGAGGGTCGGTGTAATTCCATGAATCGAAAAACTCAATTAATTTTGGCAAGTTTCTTAAGTATGATTTTTCAAGAAGCAATTTTTGTACATGTCATTATAGCTGTGTATTATGCTAAAACGTTGAACTTTTAGGGAAACAGTGCTGATATTCATCCTCAACACTTACTTCCTTATTCAAGTCCTTAGTATGGCAAGGTAGAAGTGTATTTTTATGATTTATGGGCAACCCAAACTTTGGACAGACAAGGCATAAGTATAATGAGATTGATCGTAGAACGGTCCGATGATGAGCACAAACTACTTGAATTTCTCAATATTTATCGTGACCTTTTTCTCAAGTCCCATTATTACTGAGGTGGTGTTGTTTCAACAGAGTTATGCCCTCTTCCAATGTTCATGATTTATAGTTTATTAAGATGCATAAGATGTAATATTTAGAATTCAAATTCGTTTCAACCAGATAAATAGCTATTGATGAATCCGCTTTTGAGGTCAACATACTGTAAAGGACGTATTTCCTTTTTCCTATGGTAATTCTATAGTTTTTTCCTCATAGTCTTTGTTGACTTAAGCAAAGATCATTTCTGTTTATTCCCTATTGAAAATTTGGTAATTAAGAAAAATTAATCAAAGGAAGAGGCACATTGAGAGCCAAAATCAGCAATTTATGAAGGAACGTTTGCCCAGATGTAGATGTAGTTTGAAGGGCAGGGAATACATAGATTGGGATGTAGAATAGCATCTAATTCATATGCATTTTGTTGAACTTTGAGGAGTTATTACTGCTAAGAGTCTCAATTTTAACTTTGCTTTGCTTACTTTGCAATGGCATTGGACAAGAGGACTACACGTTTTGTGTATTCAGTTAGTTGCATTTAGGCTTTAAGCACTTTTTTTGTGTAGTGTCTGTATTCTGTGGAGCTGTCTCTGTTTGAAGTGAGCAGTGAATAGTCTAAGGGGTTTCCGTTCATCAAAGGGGATCCATATTCTGTGACTTTGTAATATATGACAATTTCCTACTTTAAAAAAAGAAAATATTGGCATAGGATAATGCTGTCATATTTTGCATAAAGTGTAGGCATGAACATCAAAAGTTCGTATAAAACTTTAATGTTATTTTTTGGATCTTTGTTTTGTATTCTTCTAGTTCTTGATTTTGTGGTGTTTATCGGTTGGTATGAAGATTGATTAACCTCCCTCTCAAACTACTTGTATCAGGTGTATGATGTGACCCCCTTCTTGGAGGATCATCCTGGAGGTGATGAAGTTTTGCTAGCAGTAACTGGTAATGCTATGATACATCACCTCTCTTCAACCTTACATTCCTGATTCATTGGCATGGACAATGACTTCTTTGTGTGATGAGTTCACAAGTTTGTCGGCAATTTTTCAGGGAAAGATGCAACAAGTGATTTTGAAGACGTTGGCCACAGTGATTCTGCTAAAGAGATGATGGCAAAATATTACATTGGTGAGATAGACCCGTCAACTGTTCCCAAGAGACGCGTTTATATTCCACCACAACAGGCCTCCTACAATCCAGACAAAACTCCACAGTTTGTTATCAAGATTTTACAGTTCCTTGCGCCCCTCTTGATCTTGGGCTTAGCTTTTGCAGTCAGAAACTACGCCAAGGTAGAGTAGGCAACTTCATTTGACCTTCTATGGTCCAGTGTTGTCTGTGTTAATTATGTATTAGTTGGATGAATAATTTCTTCCCCTTTTTTTCAGTTTCTTTATGTATCTTGAGAGTGCCGGTATGGAATGTTGGTTGACAATTAAGTGCCCATTATGGAGCTCTATGTTTATGCAAATAATATGCCTTCAGGCCGTGGTCGTGTGCTATTATGTTGGAATACTGGGTCATTTGGTTACAGTTTTGAAGGGTGGATTACATAATTATAACAAATTAAAATTCTCTAATTCAACCTTATACTGCAACTAGTAGCAAAAAACACTCAATATAATTTTATTTCAAATGTTTATTCAAATAATATTATATATTCATACTATTGAGCCGATTATAAATTATAATATCACCTAAAAAAATAGTATTATAATTTAATTCAAGCGTATTAACTTATAAATTTATTTTTGTTTCATATTTAATCTTTTATTTTATTTATTACATAAAATTAACATGTATTACTTAATTAATACAATCTATTGCTTTATAATACGTTAACGGGGATTGATTATTCTTTTGACATTTTTTTAGGCTGTTTGGTGCATTAGCAGTGCTCTCTCTCTCTCTCTCTCTCGGTGGCCACATGGGCACAGCTTCGGTACTCGCTCCAAGTTCTGTCTCTCTCTCTGTGGCCACATGGGTACAGTTTCGGTACTCACTCCAACATCATTTAAGTTCAAAATATACAGGAGCCATCTAAATGAGCAACAATAAAGTAAATTTAAGAATCTACTGATTATTTTATTTTGTAAATCTGAAATGGTATGCGGGCTACTGAGTGAGTGAGCACAAGCCCCAGCCTCGGCCCATACTCGAGAAGATCATATCCCTCATCTCATATAAAGGAGCCATAATACAACACAAATAATAATAAAAACCTCGGTGTTTCAGACACTGCCACATCCTACAATTGATCCTCCGAAGCAGAGCAATTAGAACTTCATAAACCACTTGGAAGACATACTATCATAATGCTTGTCTGAAGTAAAACGATACTGACTTCGAGCCCATACCCCCGAAAAATAACCCGAATTAGTGGAAACAAAGATGATAATTAAGCTGATCAAAGTTTCCAAAGGCAGCCATTAAAAAGGTGTATCTATCTTGTCATGGAGAGTCACCACCAAGTTATGAGCATCATCTAGAAGCTTCCAGATATCGAGATGCCCGGCCATGCTATTGCACTCCCTTAAGATCTCATCCATGCTACTATACTTCTGTATGATTTGTTTCCTCCTCTGCAATACAGAAGCTGCAATGGCATAAAGCAACAGATCCTCTGTTGGTGGGGCTCGTTGCCTTATACGGCTCCATGCAGACTTTCCGATCCCAGCCCTGATTGCTGCTTGATCTGCCCACATTACCTCCCAGAGACACAGTGTCTGCTCAAAAGTTAATTCCCTCCTGAAGAGTACCACAACCATCCTGTACACGAAAAAACAATCCTCCGCCTGGAGCGTCTCCAAGTGTCTGTAAAGATGAGAATCTTTGGATTTTATAATTTTAGAAACGATATTTAGTTGCCTTCTGATACCCACCTCGTCAAGCCTGAAATTATGTCGAGCCTTCCTCATGAAACCAACAAAACACCAGAAAGCCTCGTGGTCCTCGGTTATCACTGCGATTATTGGAGAGAGTAAATCACTCATCCCTTGGCAATAGCCAATTTCAGGGTCATAAAGCGCATAGGCTTCAAGAATGGCAACTAATCGAGCAGCATGGAAGATCCTGCCTGGCTCCAGGTGATCGCAATCCTTTAAGCCAACAGCCTCAGCAGAATGGCGTGCACGGTCATCCGACACTGCAGCCTGAGTTGGGGAGTATGCCATCCATTCACCATTGGCACGAACTGCATCAAGCCGGATGATGCGCTGCCATGTGACAAAATCTTCTGTGGTTTGGGGTTTTGACTGGACCTCCGCCTTGGAGGCAGAAGAATCGTCTTTGGAAAGCATGTCACGATCACTTTCCTCCTGGCTTTCCATGGAAGGAAAAGTTTGACTGATATCGGGGTCTTCAGAGGAGTCTGAGTCTGATGATTCGCTATCTGCAGCATATGGATCTGTGACTCGTCTAGAACCAGCATCTCCTTCCAGCAATGCATTGGTAGCATTGTCCAAGTGCTCCATATCTGAGCTCCTTTCTTCACTAGAGAGGGATTCTCTGGCACTGACCACATCTTCAGAGTCAGGAGAATCCGTACCTTCAATTAAACTCCCGCTGTCACCATGACTGCTGATTCCAAAATTTTCCTTTAACTTGTTGCCCTCATCACTCTGTTTTAGAAGTCGGCGGCACTGTCTCCGTAGTTTCTCATATTCCTTTCTGCGTCAATGGAGAGACCAATGAAACCAGGGAGTAGGGAAGTAAAATAACAAAGAAACAGTGTATTTATCTAGTTCTTAAATAAGAACAAAGAATTAGTCTGTGAGAGAGAGAGAGAGAACTTGTCAAGCATACCTCTTTTGAGTTCTTAAAATCTCTCTTTCTTCTTTGGAACTTTTCAATTCATAGCTGTTGACAGTGAAAAACAAGTTTAGTCATTTGATGGACCCACAGTTGCAACTGAAATAATATGGTGTGGCACCCAGCAAAACTAAATAAGACATAAGCAGAAAGCCAACTGTGAATGAAGGTAAACACTTACTTTTCACTTGATATGTACACCAATGTTAAAATAAAAATAAAAGCATCAAATAATCCAGAGTTCCAGACCCCAACCCATGTTAAGGAGGTGGTCATGTACATGACAACAGACAAAGGCACTCAGTTATGTGAAGCTTTAACTCGAAACTGCATTTTATCATGCTCTGAAAGATACCAACATTGAGTAACTCAAAACAATAACTACAATGACGCCAAAGCTAATGCTTTATATATTAGTTCGTCCAACTCAAAATAATCCTTAACTAGTATGCTTTCAATCTGGCCGAGATGCTAGTAATTTGTATGGAATACGCTGCGACAAGCAATATATAATAATTAAGGGAAATTGAAACTACATCATGGTAGAGAGCAAGTATCTATATTCTAGAACATTTACCCAAAAAAAAAAATTCTATATTCTATAACTGGTTCAGGAATAGCTTCCTGGTTCTGTCTAACACTAATACAGCCAAATTGAGCCTTTTAAGAAAGTGAAATAAAACTTCAGATGGCCAGGTCCATCTCAGATACAATATGAAAGGTGATTGTGCTTACACTCCAAGGAGGAATGGCCAAACCTCTGCCCTGATACTTGGGTCAACACCCTACATCAGAAAGCCAGGGGAGTACAATTTCAATAAATTATAACGTTAGGAATAAATACAAAAGAAAAATACCATAAAACATATAAATCTACAACTCAAAATCAGGAGGAGTGAACATGTAAAGTTAAACAATAGTAACTCACTCCACTGCGGACTTTCTTCAGAAATTTAACACCACCATCACGAAGTTTTCCTTCTGGTGTAAACAATCTTCGCCATTGCTGAGGTGAAAGGGCATGTTTTCTTTTCCTGCGGGACCACGGCGATTTGAGATTACCCCTACAAAACAAAAGTAGAAAATAATTACCATCACAAATAAATGGACACCATTGGCATAACACCACAAGCAGCCAACAATAAAACTCAAAAAAGAATTTGTCATGCAATGCACCAAATCTAAATATAAATTACTGGACAACAAAATATTACAAGCAACCAGAAGCAATACAAAGAAACACTACAGCACTAACATTTTCCAACACTAAGATTACGGCCCATTTAAATCATTATGTTTATGCGATAATGCTAAAGAGAAAAGAAAGCCAGTGATCAGAGCTTGCCAGAAAGTATTCTTAGTTCCCAAGGACCATGGCTTCTAAACATTGAGTCATGCTACAAATAATTTGTTTTAGTCAGAATAGTCCTACTGTGATTAATGGTAGTCAACTAGATATAGATAATTATTCCACAGAAAGGCATAGTTTAGTGTTTCGGTTTCTATTCCACCTTTTTAATGAATTTTAAAGAACAATGCCTCTATCTGCCGCACAGTAGAGCAGACTCTTCTGCTTAAATGGGATGGTCAACAATATAAATCTTCAAATTTTGAAACCAGCAGCCACTTTAAATGTGAGATTACTGCAGCTATCTTAGATGTCTACTACTTTTGATATCCAGAATATGGGCCTCAGCCACCCTGGACATCCAATAAGCTTCGTATGTCTAGACATCTCTTAGCCTTAACAAAGTCTTAAACCTGAATCTCTTGTCAAACGCATGAATTTGTGGTATTACTTGTTTCAAACAACTTTATTCTGTGATGCTTCAAATGGTGCGCATAGCCGAAGTCTGTTGCAGCATACATGTACAGGTATGGCTTCACATACATCTATACTGACTTCTGTCGCACCTAAGGAAATTACTTGTTTCGAACAACTTCCTTTTTTGAGGCTTCCAATTGTGTGCATAGCTGAAGTCTGTTGGAACCTTTATTCCCAATTTTAGTAGTAAATCCCCATATATTAGACTAAGTAATGCTAATCTTCTTCACCGCAACTGTAAAGCTCAACATAGCACAAAGCAATATGGAACATGTAAAATAAGATTACAAAACCTGCATGAATGCAAAACACAAAAACATCATCATTTCAAACGCAAGTGGCACAAAACGGAAGCCCAAATCGCAAGTGTGCAAGAAACTGGGAGTATCTCAAATGGGAAGAAACAAAAAAAGACGAACTTCTCAATTTCTTGTCCCTTTTTGCCACCTGAAGGATGCATAAATTGAGTAAACAGGAGAAGAGCCACCCGAAGAATTGTAAACCCCTTACAACTTCAAATAAGAACCAAATATACTTATCAAAGTTGCGAAGACAATTTCTCACACATTAACATTGAATATTAAGAAGCAGACTCCATCAAGATTATCAGAAAGAACCCCACTATCTTTCCTTTGTGAAAAAGTCCCTTGAAGAATTTCCAAAGCCCCTCCGTGTTATTTCAAGAATCAAACAGATCAAAAGAAGAAGAAGAAAGAGCAAAATGCCCTAAGCAGGAACTAATCACACCTTCATTACAACAAAAAAGAGAAAACAAAGACAGAAAACATGAACAAATTGCATCTATGTGTGTGTATGTGTGCATAGATAACAGAGACATGTATGTGAATTAGTCAACCCACTTTGATCATGGACCTATTAAAAATCTATAAGAATAAGACAGGATCTACAATAAATCAGCTTCCAAATCTAACAGAACGAACCATGATAAGTGAAATACGAGTAATCTACAGCTACTAGAAGTCTTAGGGAAGTGAACCATTAGTGAACTTTAGGATTGAGCAGGAAACTACTAGTAACATGAAATCTCGATTGAGTATGAAATCGAGATCTGAGTTACAAAAATGTAACACTACTTAGAACAAGCTTAATCGAAGAAAATACTAGTAACCTTGAAGTAATGGTGAGGAAGCAGGAGAGAGAATGGACAGAGAGACTCACCGATCAGAAGAAGAACAAGAAGCTGGTGAGGAGGATGCTATAACGAATAAAGCCGATCGCAAATGAATCCACGACGACGACGACGACGATGAAGACGGTGAAGAGGGATTTGAAGACGAAGGCGACGAAGTTTGGCTTCGTCGGAGGGCTTTCATCTATATATAGAATTACTTTTTACTGTGAACAACTCTACCAAATTTCTAGGGTTTCAATGCGTGCTCAGTTCTATACTTCAGTTAATTCTTTTTTTTTTTTTTGTTCCCCTTTTACCTACTAAAGTAAAACACGGAGGCGGCCAAAGCAAGTCCGGCCAAGGCCGTAACGACGAAAGCTACTCCGGCATTCGAAGCCGCCGTCTCCGCCCAAAATCCACCGCCACCGCCAAAGAAGCCATCACTGTGATTATTGCCTTCAAGAACATTGTAGCCACCACCGGAGCTGAAGAAGAGGAAAAGCATGGATGATGATGATGAGAGAGAAAAATCAGTGATTACAGATGTGTCCTTAAGCAGCACCAGGCGCGAGTGGATTTTCCACCATAACCAAACTGAGGCCTCCGCCAATTGCTTTTTCCTTTCCCTTTCCCTTTCCCTTTCCCTTTCCCTTTCTTTTCTCCCTATTTTCCTTTGTCTCTTCTCACTTCTTTTTTATTTCCTCTCTCTCTCTCTCTCTCTCTCTCTCATTTTGTGCTTTCTCTCTCTAGACTGAGGGGGAGGGGGGACTGAACCGAAGACTTGACAGAATCCACACACGGAAATCTAAAAACCAACTTTAAATTTTGAGGAAATGATTTTGTCAAGGAAATGAGTTACTATCTGCAAGGAAGGTTTTTAGACTATCAAGGTTGTCATCCCTGATNGTTCTCACTTCTTTTTTATTTCCTCTCTCTCTCTCTCTCTCTCTCTCTCTCTTATTTTGTGCTTTCTCTCTCTAGACTGAGGGGGAGGGGGGACTGAACCGAAGACTTGACAGAATCCACACACGGAAATCTAAAAACCAACTTTAAATTTTGAGGAAATGATTTTGTCAAGGAAATGAGTTACTATCTGCAAGGAAGGTTTTTAGACTATCAAGGTTGTCATCCCTGATGGCCCGGCCCACTTCTTTCTGAAGCCCTTCTTGTCATCTTTAAAAAATGAGAGAATCACACATTATACCCTAAAAAATATAAATATTATAATATCGTTCTTATGTTAACTTCCGATAAAAATGACCCTATAAAAGTTAAAGTTAAAGTTAAAGTGAAGAATAATCTTAGATGGACTTAAAAATTATATTTGATAATCTTAACTATTGAATAGATAATGGGTCATATTAAATACTGAGATCCACAGAAAAATCAATTATTGTAATTATAAGTCTATTTTTTAAGTCCATGTAATATTGTTCATAGTTTTTTTTTCTCAATTGATGACCACTACTAATTTTATTGTGACATAATTTAGAGATATAATTTAAAAGTATATATATTATATCTCAAAAGGCAAATATTATGTATCCTAAATTTATAACTTAAATTTTTATCTTAAATGAAGGAGGATCATTCGATGAATAGGTCTCATTAACTTTTTTAAATGAGACTCACTGATCTAATGATCCCCTTCATTTGAAATAAAAATTTGAGTTGTAAATTTGAGATATATAGTATNGAAGAATAATCTTAGATGGACTTAAAAATTATATTTGATAATCTTAACTATTGAATAGATAATGGTCATATTAAATACTGAGATCCACAGAAAAATCAATTATTATAATTAGAAGTCTATTTTTTAAATCCATGTAATATTGTTCATAGTTTTTTTTTTCTCAATTGATGACCACTACTAATTTTATTGGAACATAATTTAGAGATATAATTTAAAAGTATATGTATTATATCTCAAAAGGCAAATACTATGTATCCTAAATTTATAACTTAAATTTTCATCTTAAATGAAGGAGGATCATTCGATGAATAGGTCTCATCAACTTTTTTAAATGAGACTCACTGATCCAATGATCCCCTTCATTTGAAATAAAAATTTGAGTTGTAAATTTGAGATATATAGTATTGTTTATCTCAAAATTAAGTTACCATAAATTTAAATCGAATCCCTTATATATAAGTGGATCTTTGTTAAATTTTCTCGTATATAAGTGAGTTATCGTTAAATTTAAGTATGTGCTTTTTTGTTGCGGGGTATTCAGACATATGTCGACTATTCCTTTAAACTCGAATACTGGTCACCGTAATCAAAGTAGGTATAAAATATGCCCCCTTTAAGATTGACTAACTTTTAAAGAGTATGAAAATTGAGAAATGAACCAATGAAAATTGAAGAAACAAAAGTTGGGAGAGGATGGGATTAAGTGCTAATTGGCTAATTGCTATACGTTGTTTTGGGTAACCATATATTTATACCATCGCATCGCATGCAAACAGAATGGCAAAAGAGACTACTTAAATCATAAATAGTTTAACCTTTTCGCTCTGCAGTTTTTATTCAAAAAAGTAGAAGAGGTGACCATCATGGATGGGCCTTCGNGTCTTTGTTAAATTTTCTCGTATATAAGTGAGTTATCGCTAAATTTAAGTATGTGCTTTTTTGTTGTGGGGTATTCAGACATATGTCGACTATTCCTTTAAACTCGAATACTGGTCACCGTAATCAAAGTAGGTATAAAATATGTCCCCTTAAGATTGACTAACTTTTAAAGAGTATGAAAATTGAGAAATGAACCAATGAAAATTGAAGAAACAAAAGTTGGGAGAGGATGGGATTAAGTGCTAATTGGCTAATTGCTATACGTTGTTTTGGGTAACCATATATTTATACCATCGCATCGCATGCAAACAGAATGGCAAAAGAGACTACTTAAATCATAAATAGTTTAACCTTTTCGCTCTGCAGTTTTTATTCAAAAAAGTAGAAGAGGTGACCATCATGGATGGGCCTTCGTTCTCGAGGAGGGAACCTAACTACCTTCTCAAGCTAGTAGTGTTTGCTTTTTCTTTCTCTTTCTCTTTCTCATGTCTGCCTCACAAAATACCACGCCTTATTTTGTTGACTCATTTATCATGGTGTTTCCCAGGTGGAAAAGGGTAGGTAGTTTACAGCCTAACTTACATTAGAACTCTTAATCAAACCACATTACTTGAATTTGATTGGGGTTTAGTTCGCTCCACTTTTTAAGGAAATTAAACTTGAGTAATTTTTTATGTTTGTTTGAAAAACAAGTCCGACAGACTCGATTTACTACCAACCTTAATCTAGATTAGAGGTAGAAAATGGAATTCTTATCATACTTTCTCAGCTTTTTGTTGTTTCCCCAACTTTTAGAGCATGGAATTTTTCATGAGATTATGCAAAGATTTTCCCAAATTTTCTTTTTTCTTGTTACCTTCATCATTGATTTTTAACACTACATAGATCTCGTAATGACCAAAGCCTCATACATTTCAACACTTCTTTCTTAGATCTCGGAATGACCAAAGCCACATGTATGGCACTATTTTTTTCTTTTTTTTTTTATCTTTCCAATTGTTTTGGGGGAGGGGGTGGGGATGATTAACTAAGAGTTAAAAAAAGTGAAGGTATGCAAAGTTCAGATAGTTGATGGTGTCTGCAAAAGTAACCAACACTAAACAGAAACTGTGCAACCAAGAGCCACCTAGAATTCACCTGGAATGCTGTATTAGCAATGCCCGTATATCACAAGTCAAAATGACTGCAACAACTGAAACCACCAAACTTACACCAACAACTTGGTGGAAAATGCATGACAAAGAAGATTACATATTCAAATCCTTATTCTGACAGAAAGGTTTGAAAAAAAACCTCACAAAACATTTAACTACCACCGACATTACAAAATCCCCACATCTTTAAGGTCATGGATCAAACCACAAAATACAAGATAAAAACTATAACTTATCATGGGGGGATCAACTCATGTCGCCACTACAGCCATGCGTGCCCTACAGCTTTGAAGCTGCTGCCTTGTCCAAAAACCACATCAACTCCCCTTCAGGTGAAACCATTTGAACAGGGAGCAAATCAGAATTTTGACCATCACCCAGAGTTACATGCACAGGATGAGCTTTACCAGCCCCTGCCACCACAAGTGCGATGTGTGCAGAGGAGTTGATAACAGGAAGCGTGAAAGTAATCCTCTCTGGTGGTGGTTTTGGTGAGTCTGTAATGAATGCAACCCACTTGTTCTTCTCTTGAACAAGAGGATGCCCAGGGAATAGAGAAGCAACATGTCCATCTGGTCCCATACCCAATAGCATCAGATCAAATTTAGGAAATCCACTAGTCTGAGATAGATCTATCGTCTTGTTCTTAACCAGATGCTTGAGACAAGTTTCATAATCATCAGCTGCACCCTCTGCAGACAATGCATCATTGATAGCATAGACATTTCCAGAGGGCATTGGTATCTGACAACACAACGAGGAAGATACATAGTCTTACATAGTTAAGGGGCTTGGAAGAATAGCATAAAGGAGTATTTTCAAATGACAGTGGTATGGCAATAGCTGTAGAGGAAAGCACTGCATATTCCTTATCTAAGGTTTGACTGTTGGAAGTACCTAATCATTATAATTTATTTTGGGTGGGAGAGGAAGAGGAAAAAAAGAGGAGGGGGGACAGAGAGCATTTATGGGATTCTTCCTCTTTCACCGCAAAGATTGAAACCGAAAGAATGAAGGACCTCAAACTACGGAAATTTTTACAAAATAATACTGAATTTGATAATATAGATGGACAAAATTTTGCAATGNAGAGCATTTATGGGATTCTTCCTCTTTCACCGCAAAGATTGAAACCGAAAGAATGAAGGACCTCAAACTACGAAAATTTTTACAAAATAATACTGAATTTGATAATATAGATGGACAAAATTTTGCAATGATCCCCAAGAACATTAAGTTCACAGTTCAATAGTTTTAAACACCGCTACAATATATTACGTCCAATCAACTTCAAAATGATACACAGCCTTCTACTTCCTATTGTGTCATTCAGCTCCACCTAGTAGAGTCACATGATTAAGGCGTAGAAGCCCTTCTCCAAATGTAGGTTCCCAAAAAGGCCATTGCTTGGGGACTTCCACTATGAACCATATGTGAGTGCATGAGTTGAGACTAAGGCATTGACTTCGTGCAAATGATACCAAAGTTTAGGTCCGTATCCAACATCATCCTCTCTACATCATTGGCTAAGAACCACTGTGTTTGCACTACCTGATGGCACATATATCTTTTTTTCAACTTTCTTCCTTAGGTTCCAAAGGAGTCATTGCTCGAGGACTTCCACTATGACGCAGGTTTGAGAACATGAGTCGAGTCTAAGGCATTGAGTTCATGCCAACCTTCTCCATGGAGGCTATAGCAGTAAATACCAAAGGTTAATATCCAACCTCATCCTCTACATCATTAGCTAATAACCTTTTTGTTTGCACTCCCTAAAGGCACAATCATTTATCTAATTTTCACGACTCATCAAATGGCAATAGAACTTTGCATATTCACCGCTGCTGATAATAAGCAAGTAAGCAGTAATTACAGGACAAAGTACCCAACTCTGTGTATGATCCCATGCATACTTCTTAGCATAAACAACAACAATTCTAAAGAGCAACTTGGATGAAACCATCGTGGCAAAACAAATAATGCTATCAGGGTGATCCTGCATATGATTCTATAAATAACTCTCAACACAAAGGAAAATAAGTACTTAAAACAGTACCTTGGATAGAAAACCATCGTAGGCCAACAAATAGTTACTATCAGGGTGATCTTTAGGAACTACTCTCTCGTCCACCCAAAACACGTACCATTTCGACCAATCCACTGAATCAATGTATGGAGGCTCCACCAATTTCCTACAATATCAACATCAAACACTTACCAAAACCTTAACACATAGTCATTCAACCTTCGTTTGGTTTCTGACAAAACTTTAGCAGAGAAAGAAAAAATTAGCTTACTAAATACTTTGGTTCCTAATATCTTTCCTAACGAGATGAAAACAGGTAGAAAACAAATGACTTCTACAACATAAGATATAAGGATGTGTAATGTATGCACCAAGTTCCTAAATGGTCTAACTGGAGGAAAAATGAACATGCCTTCCATCACAACTGCAGAAAATTCACGGTTGAGCCCTCAAACCAGATAACCAAAATGGACTAAACCACTAAAGGCCTGAGAAATAAAATGAAATGAATACTGCAAGTCTGTGATCTCTTCAAGCTGCAAACATTCTGTCATACTGATAAAAACAATTCAAAAGTTCTTGGCTATCTGAAATACATATAAAGGAGAAACTGCAAACTAAGGTTCAAGAAACTGATATGACTAAGTACCTCAGATTCTTAGAAGGCCTGATTGTAATTAGAGCAAAATCAAGCAAAGAATCCACCCAATTCAGAGTTCTAAAGAGATGGAGGACAATTAAAAATAACTGTCACCTAGAACCCAAGATGAAATTTTGTTTCTTAAGTTTCTAAATTTTCCCAAATGGCGATTGAGTGAACCCGGACACGGTTACCACCTCACGTGCAACAAGATACCGTCACAAATCCACAATCCGCATATTATTTTTTCCTCTTTATTGTCGATGGCAACCAAAACAATAGAAAGTGATTCCCTTTACATTCTCTCTTCCTTTTCTCCTTGGATTCCGACATCCAAACAGAGTGCACAGATGCCTAAAGTTCTGCTAAAAAGCATGACCAAACAAGACCATTCTGTTTACTTGATTGCCATAAAATGCATCACAAACCTAGCCGTTGTGTTTCGATACAGTCCTTCAAACAAAACTCACTAGTACTCTAAACATCATTTCAAAACAAAACCAATCCCTTTATTTTTTTTTTGAGCAATAATACAATTTGTACCTAATTTCGATCCACAATTGGGAATCTAATGCATTAATGCTGTTCAATTAGCAGTCAAACACATCCTACGTTAGAACCCACAACCAATCCTTACATTAGGTCCAACACTGTTGCTTTTTTTAGCGACAATATATCAATCAATAGTGACATTACAGAGTATCAAAGACTAAAAGATGAATTTTTCACCTGAGGGATTTGATCAGAGAACCACCAGACAAGACAACGGTGAAATAACCTCTTTCTTTGGCAAATTTATCCGATAAATCGGCGGTGTATTTCGCCAGCGACACCGCCAGTTCTTCCTCCGAATCGAACACTTGAACCGTCCCTTTACCTTTCTCAGTCGCAGCCTCTGCCATTGACGATCTTCTTCTCACCTCAAATTTCTTCAAATCTGTGCCAATCACCAAGCCTCTCTTCGATCTAAGCGAAAAATCGAAGGAACCACGAACCGCAGGTAACGAAGTCACTGAAATGTACGGTGGGAATCGTCGGAAGCGAGATGGGAAAGTGCGCAGGTTAGTAGTGAGAAAGCGAGTCGAGGAGGCCATGCGGACAGCGCACCCCGATGGTATTTATATGGGCCAGTCGAACTGAGGACAGGTCCACCGGCGATGACCAACGAGTACACATCGTGGAGTAGTTTGATTTTTGGATTTAATTTAGTGAAATGGCGTGGCAAACGAGAAGCGGACCATTCCGTCACCGTCTGACAGGTGGTGCTCGTGCGTGTATAACAGCAACATAGGCTTTGTTGGGTCGGGTACTTTCAATGTCATGTTTTCCGCTCGTTTGAGGAATTTTATCCTAAATTGATTTGTCGGTGTTTCAAATCTTTCAAGTTGACAATTAAACATATTGTGTTTGATGTAGAATGATGTTAATTTGATTAATAATATTATTAATTTTAAATAGTAATAAAGATGAATCGTAAATTTACGCATCTTAAATTTGTCCGTACTAAAGAGGAAAGGAATTAAATTAACACAGACACTCTAGACCATTGACTAAAAAAATTAAAAACAGCACAATTAATTCTACATGCCACTAGTATAAAATTAAAAAATAAATTTAATATTTTTATTAAATAAAAAATAGAAGAATAATTATAAAAAAAAATTTATATAATAAAGTAGAATGAAATTTGAATCCAAAAGACAAAGAGAGGTTCAGATCGTTTTGAGACAAAATATAAACACATCTAATTAATAACATAATCTTGACATAAAAAACAGTTCAGATCATCTCAAAAATTTTGATCAAACGGTTTACAGTTAGTCCCGAATTTTATTTTCCCGCTCATGAAGAAACCTCTCTCTCACGCCTCTTTCTCTCTCTCTGAAATTTCTCAAATCTTCCTCAATCCCATCCAAAATCCAAATCCCGCCCATTTTAGCCGCACATACATGGCACCCAAGCACTCCGGCCCAAGCCAAACTCTCTCTCTCTCCTTTGCGAATAAAGATCTCAACCCTTATCTCTTTCTCTCTTACTCGCTCACCGATCGCTCCTCCAAATCCATGCCAAATACAGGCGGTCACTTCCCCAAATTCATGCCTTCGTTTTCGAGTTCAAACGTTCTTCACAGCCACCAAGACAGACATCACCGAGTTCTTCACAGCCACCGAATTCTTCACAGCCACCAACTTCTACAGCCACAACCACTGCCACTGTCAGGTAATTCCCCCATCCTCCTTCCCCTTCCCTCCCCTCCCCTCTCCTCTTTTTGTTTCTCCCACTATCTTCTCACTCTATTTCTCTGCCCCTTTACTAGCCCAGTCCCAAAAGTAGTCTGTAATTATAAAATTTTATGGGTGTACATAAAGTGTTCGTCAAAATGCCTAAGAAAAATACTGTCCCAATCACCACAGAGTTCTGTGCTACATTGAATGTGAATTGGAGTACAATGGGTATCCAAAAGCTTCTGATGTTAAGGATATCGAATCTTGATATTAATTTCTAGTTTTTTAAAATTGGATGAGTACCCATGAAGATTGTTATCATTGAGTTATTTGTTAATTAAATACAAGAGGATTCATGTTAAGGTAGTATTGTTCTTTTAATTCATGTAGATGTGAAATTTTATTGTTGGTTTTAAGATTTCTCAGGAATCAAATCAACGGTGTTTTCTCTTGAACTGTGGAAGGCATTGTGTTGGCAAGGGGACATGATGGATTCGGCAAGGGTACTTGATGGGTATTGCCGGAAAAATTCGAGGAGTTCACAGTGGATTACTCTCCATCTATGCGGATGGATTCATGGATGAGTACTCGAAGGTTGGTTTTATATCCTCTGTTCTCCCCCTCTCTTGTGTATTGCTGGTCATTTTAAGTGAATAATCTCTCTGAAAATCTGATGGTATGAACCTGGAGGACAGTGGTAGAACCAATTATCAATTCCTTGAAAACCCTGATTATATAAATATTGTTTTACTTATTCTTATTTGCAAAATTTATGGTATATATGAACGAAGAAATAGTAANGGTGTATTGCTGGTCATTTTAAGTGAATAATCTCTCTGAAAATCAGATGGTATGAACCTGGAGGACAGTGGTAGAACCAATTATCAATTCCTTGAAAACCCTGATTATATAAATACTGTTTTACTTATTCTTATTTGCAAAATTTATGGTATATATGAACGAAGAAATAGTAAAAATTGCGATGGAAAATATAGAGTGTACCATTGTGCTTATTTGATCATTGTTGTGCATTTGCCTNTCTGTTGGTATGAAGTCAATCATATCCATTATGTCTTTTGATCTTCCCTTAGCATCAAATTGATTTGCTGCATTGTTCAACAAGCAATGTCAATGCACGATCATCTGATTATATTTAATTTTNGCAACATTGATGGCTATGGAGCTGGCAGATTATTAGGTTCAAAGTGTGTCTTGGAGACATACAGTTGAACCTATGTTAATTGTCTCAAAAGTGATTGTAGCCAAGCTGATTTAAACTAGCTATAGCTCTCTAAATAGATGTAGTGTCCACTAAAGTTGAACCCTTAACTCATGCAAACAACGATCTTTAATGTTAATATGTTTTTGCTACGTTGTATGGCTCTTCATCATGTGCACATGGTGTTTCAAGTTGAACCCTTGCCTTTCATAGATCATATCTTTTAGTTACTTTAAAGTGTTTCTTCCACATTGTCTGACTCTTTCTTTATGCTCTATGGACACTTGCCGACTTCTGATGTCATAAACACATTATGTCATATTTGAAAACAAATCTGAATACCAAATCTGATTCAACTTGGACCTTTGTGATTACTTTAATCACTTTTTGCAGTATCCTTACTCTAAAATCAGTTATCATTCCAACACTACTATGGATATTACCGGATCAGTGCCCACAATTCAATGCTCAAGAACCATACTCATTTGGTGGTGTATTAAAATTTTATTCATTCTTAGGTCTTGGACTCATATAACTCTTCTATGTGAGTATACTTTTGATAACATATCCTATACTTCTGTTATTCATGTTTTTGCTTACTGTTATTCAACTCAGCAAATTCTTTGTAGTTTCCTTACTGTTTGTTATTCATGTTTTATTTTGGGGACCATTGTGTTGGTGTTTGCATTCTCTTTCAAATATTATGTGTGTGATGTGAAATAACCGATGTGTGGCACAAGCTTTTCATAGGTGAAAAAACTAGAACAAGTAGTGAATGATTACTTATTGAGCTCAGGCATGCACCATATAAATGGTTCTTATTCAGACAGTGGGTTTGTCCCATTATTTTTAGTCATTCATCAGGTTCAACCCCCTCTACTATAAGCTAATTCTACGCATAAACTTATGACAGTTTCGTTTTTCATTTGCAATATGCATGAAAGGTTAGTATATTTAAAATATGATTAAATTGCTGATAACTTTTTTTTTTACATTGCTTATTCCATGGTTCATTGGGTTGAGATGGTTGTCGAAATTTTTTTGCAGATCTTTTACAAGATCAATTTGAATTGGCTCTGCTATATATGGAATAATTAGGCATAAATTTATACCGACTCCTCATAATTTGATAGCTTCAACTCCATTAACAACTACGTATGAATCTTTTTTTGGTTTTGAAATCCATAACTTAAGGTTACAAATTATAGCTTTTGTGTAGCATATAAAAAAGACGTTTAGTAGGTAAGGATAGGTTGGAGTATGCAAAGTAAAGTCTAAATGAACATAGGAGTATGACTTTTGATTCTGTCATTGCATTTGTTTGCTACTACTTCATGCACACGTCATTCAGTTACATTCACTCATTTTTTTCTAATACTTCACATGAGGGTGTTTCTTAAGCTTCTGTCAAAGTGATCTTTAAGTGTTAGTGGATTGAATGTTGAGCTAACCCCATTTTATTTTCAGGATCTATGGGTTCCATTACATTTTATTCACGCTCTCTGGCTCTGCCTTCTGTGTATGTTTTATGGTCAAAAGTGGAGAACTGAGTTTTAGTTTTTGGGTGATTAATGATTAGAGTTGTAAAACTAATGTTTGTTTAGATTTAACCATGATTTGTTGTGTGATGGTAATATTATGCATAAGTGCATTGGTTTTGTATGATTTGAGTTTTTAACGAAAAACATTTTGAAATTTATATTTGGTTTTGTGATTTTGAAGTTTGGTCTGATTTGGTTTGATATGTACAGTTAAGTTGAGCTATTGAAAAGTCAATACTAGAACCTTACTAGGTTTGATGGGTATTTGGTATTTCTTTTTGGTTTTTTTATGGTTTTCTTAATTTTATGTGCATTTGGATGAAGTTGGTACAATTTTGGACTTGAAATGAAACCAAATTGTCATGTTAATTCGATCGTTTTGGAGAAGTTTAGAAGTTACAAGATTGCTCTAGAAAAATTACTCTTTATATTGAAGTGTTTACTTGGCATCTGCACTAACAACTGCCTGGAAGTAGTTTTAGATTTTGTCTCAATAACTCTCTATTTGTTTCTAGATCTCTATTGCAATTATTTTTTTGTTAATCATGTATCTTTTATTTCTTGTGGTGGTTTTGTATTGGAATATGAGTTTATTGCTCTGACTTTGGGTAGAGATGATTGATAGGATTTTAACATGGAAATTAAAGTTGTACCAAGCTGCATTACTTCAATCTGTCTTGATATAATGCTGGAATTATGGAGTAGTGATTTCTATCTTAAAACACACCGAATACTGATTTTTAGATATATGCAAATTTTATGGTTTTGATTTCTCAGTTGTAATTTAGGTGACAAAGGGTTTGTGCACTGTTTTATGAATCTCGCATGGGTTATGTGAATTTCTGAATTTCACAATGTGGCATCTCATGCCTTTTCGGCATTTCAATTTTTCCTTTAACTTCACCGCCACCTCTCCATGATAAGGTTTGAATTGCATTTTGAGTTTGTCAATCTCATTTGGTTTGTTTCTTCTAGGAGCTTCGTCGTTGTGGTAATCATAGGGTAATTGGGTAATTGCAATAAAACTGCAATTTTTTTGTTTCGTGCCTTTAGGCACGAGCAATTACTAATATTTTGATATGGTAATAAGACTCTTTTCTTTGACTAAATTGTAAACAATTCTTACTCCAAATTGTTACATTAATTTTTTCCAACTAGTATATTTTGTAGTATAAGTTGAGGCGTTTTTAAATATATTTATCTTATATTTTATTTTTTTAATATAATTTAATATATGAAATTGTATCTAAAAGTCTGAAACGTTCAAATTAAATTCAAATTTAACTCTTCATGTTAAGAAC